AGGAGTAGTAGCAGCGTGGATTGCCACCGTTTGATGTTTCTTTGAAGGTTCTTATGAATACTGGACCTTTCGTTTGCTCCAAAACTTTTTCTTCCCACCACTTGCCTTCAGTGGTTCCAGAGCGGCTGATAATTCATCCAAGTCAACCCCGTGATCTATCAGGGTCTGTGCCAAACACCTGGCATTGTTAATAGTGGTAGGCTTAATGGCCAAGACATTTCCTTGAGTTAGGGGCGTCAATCCCAAAATGTACCTTTCTATTTTTTTGATTTCCAGGGTAACCATTCCCGAACATAAAAGAGCCAGATCGCAAAATCTATTTTTGTGTGCAGCAATGTCAAAACCCTTCATCTTTAGGTTCCAAAGTTCGTGCCATAACTTCTACATCTCGCCCCTTGGGAAATATTCAACAAGAATTAGCTCTTTCAAGCTCTCCCAACCCATAACATTTGCCACTGGCAGTGTTAGGGATTTGACTCGACCATTCCACTATGTCAGTGCTCTGTTCGTGAAGGTGCAAGCTGTGAATTTCACTTCATTTGCTTCGGAACATGCATAGATCTCGAAGACTGACTCTATGTTCTTGAAGACTTGACCGGTCCATATACCTTTGTATTTTCTACAAGTGGCCGGTGATGGGTTCACCATCCCTCATTCACCTTGTTATCATGGAGTAAATGATGTCATACCTCTCTTGGCGAGCACTTTGATGGTAGCGGTCCATCAATTTCTGGTGTATCTCAAAAGGGTAATAGTCCTTATAGGACTTTTGGAGCTCGGTTCTCATCGTGACCATCATGATACAAGCCACTTTCGTGGCATCTCTCTCATGAGTCTGGAATTTAGCGATCTCCTCAACAGTAGCAATTAACTCATCAATTTCCTTTAGCTCCTTACGAGGACATATTCCGTGTCCTCGTAGCGTGTGACCATCCTGATATTTCAGATCCAATCCATAAAGTTGTAACCATCAAAGATGACTCTCCTACAAAGGTTCATGAGAGAGAAGGAGCCGGCAGGGTTTGAGCCAAAAGCAGTATTGTTTGAAGACATCTAACAACGAAGAAAGACAAGTTTAGATTACATATAAAGATAGTCCTTAATAAAACACCCAAATGTAATATTAAGGCTAGTACCCAACACAATATTTTATAACTTAGAATAGGGATGTCGTAATCCAAGCTATAAAATATTTGAAGGTAGGTGAATGACGATTCACCAATTTCCACCATGAAAACTGAAATAAAGTTTAGGTTTTATTGGTTTTGAAACTCCTAGATTCTTTGGGATTCATTGAAGTTTTCAATGGCATGCTTCAATCTCGAGTGCGCCCTTTAAGTTTTGTGATTGGGATGCCGAGGATCACAAAAGAAGGTGTGAAGTAACCATGCAAATTACTTGGTACCATTAATATTTAACCATCAATCAATGTGCCGATTAACCACATACGCTCCACCGATACTATGATAAATATTAAGTTACCCTTTGCCTACCTTGTTAAGTCCATGTTAGTGTGCCGGTTAACCACACACACTCCACTAATGACTTAAACAAAGTGCAAAGTGTAATTTAATGGGTTAGCACCTTATTCACATCTTCCTGAAGTAACTAAGATTGGTAACTTATAAAAAACATTTAGTTACTTTAGTATCATCATACATTTAATGAGGATTTAAAGTCATTGTCCTACCTATTCGGCTAACGACCCTCCACCACTCAAGGAAGCGGTGGGTGAGAGTGGACACCCATTAGGCTGCCATTTTATAAGCAACAACCTTATACCCCCCTTATAGATCGACTTCGTGAATGAGGCCTACTAATGGTATAATGACTTTTTGTTTATATATATATATATATATATATATATATATATATATATATATATATATATATATTATATATATATATATATATATATATATATATTATTAACTTATAATATTATAACTATAAGGGTTGAATTTTAACTTTTAAAATTCAAGGGGTTGGAACTAAAGTTTTTTTTAAGTGACTTTACATGTTCCAAAATTTGAGGGAAAATTTTGTAACTTTACAAAAATTTTCATCTTTCATAACTTATGAGTTACTGTTTATTAAAAATGAAGACTCTTCATTTTTATAACATATGTGTTCTTTTAATGGATTTAATAACTTGTGACTTTTGGTTATCCATAGCTTAAGAACTAGTTATGGACTCCATTAACACACATAAAGATCAATAATTAATCTAATCAAATAATTGCACATAATTCCTATGATCTTGTAAACTCATAAGTGTATGAACATTATATAAAAAAATTTCAAGAATCATAAAAGCCAAATATGAAACTTGAAAATTTGATAATAGACATTGTAAATGGATTAGCATAACCATTACACCATCTAAAACAAGTTTTACAAGTCCAAAACAGTTTAGGGTAATGATTCTAATCCATTTCCAGCAGCAAAACTCGAAAAACTGGTCAAAGGAGCCTCTACTTGTTGAGTGCATGAACAGACTCGACGAGTAGTATGCATTTCTTCATGGACTCGTCGAGTCCCCCCATGGACTCGGCGAGTTCATACGTGTTATGACAGAAAAACTTCGATTTTCAATCATTTTGCATCAAGTATCAAGTAAACAAGCCAAGGCTCTGATACCACTGAAGGGTTTTGAGCATTCTAACACTCCTATGGTGTACATGCAATCCTAGAAACATTGGATCTATGTTTTACTAAGATACATGCAAATTTGATTTTCCAAGGTTCTCAACCTTACTAGCATGACATGGGAACTTTAATACATAAAAGCTAGTAAGAGAACATACCTTTTGTTGGTTGGATTCCTTGAAAACCTTGTGAGCCTAGCACCTCAAGTGTGATGCCTCAAATGTCTCACGCAACACCAAATACACTTGGAATAACCTTGAGAGAATTAGAACACTTCTTGAAATCGGCTATGCCCTCTTGTTTTCACTTAGTGGCTAATTTTCATAGCCTAGAGGTTCCTTTTATAGTGTTGTCAAATATAGGTTACAAAGTTTAAACCCTAAATGAAATGTTCTTTCATATTCTATGATCCATGGGTTTATCACCTCCATGGACTATCCATGGAGCACCATATTGGGTTTAGTCCTATTGGGAAAAGATCCTGCTTCACATCCTAAAATATTGGCCCAATTTGTAATTTCTCCTTCAGTCACCCCACTTCCAAACACTCTGGATTTGTGAAAGCTTACTTTTAAGCCAGATGAAACATGAAAGCATCTAAGAATCCGTGCTAGATTTTTTAGATTGGATCTTAAGCATTCACCTACAAATAAAGCATCGTCTGCATAGAACAAATGTGAAAGAATAGGGTCACTGTTTGGAAATTGAACTCCTTTGAATAATCCTTTGTCTTTGGCAGCCTCTATTGCTGGGTTGAGATCTTTCATGGCTATGATGAAAAGGAATCATGAAAGCGGGTCACCTTGATGCACACCTTTGAAAATTTTGAATTAATTCGTTGGAGACCCGTTTACAATGACAAAGGCGTGAGAGGAGTTCAGACAACCCCTAATCCAAAGACGCCATTTAGAGCCAAAGCCCATTTGTGTGAATATGGAATCTATATATTTCCACTTTATTGAATCAAATGCTTTATCAAAGTCTACTTTGAATAATAGTATCCTCTTTCTTATTTTCTTCGCCCACGAGTAGAGTTCGTTTATCACTAATGATCCATCCATAATGCTCCTGCCCTTTATGTAAACTTATTGGACATCTCCAATGACTCCACCAATAACGGTTTTGAGCCTTAATGCAAGCACCTTAGGCACAAGACAATTGGGATGTATTTTTGAACAAATTGTTTTTAGATTCTAGTGGGACAAAAATTAAACCTGAAATTAATATTGATCTCGATAAAAGTGAAGGTTGAGAAATTCATGTCTCTACCATGTCCATGATGAGAATCATGAATGGAATAAAAGGTTCCCATTTTAGGTATGACGTTCAATACCTTCCGTTTAACCAACATAATTCGACTTTAACTTTTATTTCCATTCCTAGAATTGTATTTTTTTTCCTAGGTAGTTATATGTAATAAAATAGAAGTGTACAAAGAACATCAAAATTGTATAACTGATTTACAATGGAGTTAGGACACACTGTTACATGGATTTTCAATTTATCCTCAATTGAGAAGGTAACCCACATTTGCAATGTTAATACAATATAGATGGCACATAGATGATAAGTGAGCTCTAATGTATTATTATTGGTCATAAATGTATGGCACATAGATGATAAGTGAGCTCTAATGTATTATTATTGGTCATAAATGTATATTGTAATAAACATTGACAGTTTACTTGTAATGGTGTACAAAAAAATGACTATCTAAAATAATTGACAGTTCATTACTTTTATAAATCAATTTCAAATCATAAATCTAAACCCTGTGGTGTATTTTACGGCTTAAGTTTATTTTTTTTAGGAATGGAAAACAGACATACCATTTTCCCATCCAAGTCATGTGGAAGCTCTTGTAATTCTAGCGTAGCTTTTTTTTTTGTAAGCTGTTTTTGTTCATAAAAAAGTTATTAATAATAATAATAGATAAAAGAAGAAGAATTCCATATGAAAAAATTGTTTAATGTGGGTTTATACTACAAAACAGTCAACAGATCCATCTAATGCGTGATGAGTATAAAAAATGTATATGTACAAAGTGTATTTGAGGTACGTGCAAGTATATGAATTATACAAGTGTTGTGAGGAAAAAAGTAGTCTCGTCATCTTATCTAAACTCATACTTCATCAAAATCTTTTCTATTATTTGTTGATTCTTTCGGTACAAACCAATGAGAGTCGAGATAAACATCATCACACACATCCACATAGAGAGAGAGAGAGAGAGAGAGAGAGAGAGAGAGAGAGAGAGAGAGAGAGAGAGAGAGAGAGAGAGAGAGACCATGCTTTTAGTCAGTAATACCATCAGCAAAGCTTGGGGGGGGATGCACTTAAAACTAGGTCCCCTCTCATGTGAATTCACCCATCCACTTGCACACCCTCTTTCATCTCTCTCTAGACACTGTCTCTACATAGACGTATTTGTATATAAATGTGCATGTATACATATACATGTTGTATTATCCACCAATAATTATAATGCAACTTGTATATAACAAGTAGCCATGAATCTTCCTGGTTTCTCACCATCTCCGAGTTGACCCACCTCACCTACATCTCTTCCGTATATTTTACGTATATCAACAAGCACGCACACACACATATATCGCCATGAGTAAAAACAAATAAGATTTTATTAGTTATTATTTGATAATCGCAATAAAACTATAATACATATGCACCATACACAATAAGCATTCCAAGTGTTCCTATATATACTCAACCTTTCTCTTACACCCACTTCATAATCATCATATTTCTCTCTCTATATACAACCTCATTCTTCTTCCTGCTTTCTCTCTCCTTCAAGAAGACTAATTGCTAATTACAATGGATGGAAGTTCCACTGATGATCAAAGCACAACTACAGACACAGCTTCAACTGTTGCAGCACCGGTGACTACGCCTCCACTGATCGGCAGTGGGGGCAGCATGGTTCTCGACATGGAAGGTGGTTTGGAAGCCGAGTCGAGGAAGCTGCCTTCGTCAAGGTTCAAAGGGGTAGTCCCACAACCAAACGGCCGTTGGGGTGCTCAGATTTACGAGAAACACCAACGCGTGTGGCTTGGAACCTTCAACGAAGAACATGAAGCCGCTAAGGCGTATGATACTGCCGTTCAGCGCTTCCGTGGTCGCGATGCTGTCACCAACTTCAAGCCGCTTCCAGCCGACACAGAAGAAGCCGGGTTGGAAGCCAGTTTCTTGAATTCGCATTCAAAAGCTGAGATCGTCGATATGTTGAGGAAACACACATATAACGATGAGCTAGAACAAAGTAAGAGAAGCTGCAACTTAAACAAGACCCCTTTTACAAACGGGTTTAGATCGGGTCAACAGTTGGTCAACGCCCGGGAACAACTCTTTGAGAAGACAGTCACACCCAGCGACGTCGGAAAACTAAACCGGTTAGTGATACCAAAGCAGCATGCTGAGAAACACTTCCCGTTGCAAAGCGGAAGCACTTCCAAAGGAGTTCTTTTACATTTCGAAGACATCGGGATGAAAGTATGGAGATTTCGTTATTCATACTGGAATAGTAGCCAGAGCTACGTTTTGACCAAAGGGTGGAGCCGATTCGTGAAGGAAAAGAACTTAAAAGCGGGTGACAGTGTGAGCTTTCAGAGATCCACGGGTTCAGACAAGCAACTTTACATCGACTGGAAGACCAAAAACGGGTCGGGTAGCTCAAATATTCCAGAACAAGTCCAACCGGTTCACATGTTTAGGCTGTTTGGAGTCAATATATCGAGTGCAAGTAGTCATGGCGTTGAAAGCAGTTGCAATGGTAAGAGAAGTAACATAGAAATGGAGTTATTGGGGTTAGGGAACTGTAAGAAACAAAGAATTATTGACCCATTGTAACATTTTCTCTTTCTTAGGGGGTTTGTTTGATAATGTTTCGGACTAGCTACCTTTTTCCTAGCGATGATGATGAGGAATGAAGCTGGAAAGTGGTGGGAACGGAATAGAGCAGGGTGCAAGTTGCAAAAGTTTGTATATTTATTTTAGAAATCGAAAAGATAATTGAGCAAAAGAAAGCTCAATGTAGGGAACAAGTTGAACAGTTGTAAAAACGAACAAAAATAGAAACTCTTTGTTTTCCAAAATCCATCATCTTGATTTGGTTGTTGATTAATATTTGATGTTCGAATATGCATGTTTATTATAACGTATATTTATTTTAGAAATCTAAAAGATAACTTAGCTAAAGATTTTAGTTAGTTTTATTATCATCATCCCTATTAAAAAAAAAAACAGTGATGTATGGTAGTATAGATATACATGTGATGTAATGAATAATTCTTTATTCAAGAACCTTTCCAATTTTGGTTGAAAATGTTTTGTAGTACTTTGCTTGTTTGAGCATAACAACTGTTTAAATATCTGCTTATGTTTCATCATGACAAGTCCCACACACAAAGGGGTTGTACATTACAGTACATGTATTCTTATGCAATAGCCACCATTCAACACATTGTACATGGAGCAATGTTTTCACCTTTCCTGCTAAGATACTATAGCTTTACCTTATTTGGAATAATAAGTTGTGTGGTTGTAACACACCAATAAATATCTGGAAATGTTTTTCTTTTGAAACATATCCTCATATCTATAATGTTAACTCTTTCGCTTTGATATATATATATATATATATATATATATATATATATATATATATATATATATATATATATATATATATATATATATATATATAAGACAACGAAACCAAAAAGCTCATTATTACTTATTAATTAGTATGGATTTCCTGATATATATATATATATATATATATATATATATATATATATATATATATATATATATATATATATATATATATATATATATATATATATATATAGTATTTTTATTGAACTATGTGATCATCTAATTCTAACATCGAGATGAAGTTGGCTTGTAGTTTTGATCCTGGCATCAATATATTGCATATTGTTTGTTTAGCGAAATAGAAGTTAAAGATAATGGGTTAATGACGTAGAGTACAGACCCTAGATAGAGCATATTTTTCCATATAAATAAAAAGGACATGCACACAGGTAAGTCAGATATGATATGATGCTCACAATCTCGGGTACATAAGATATTTGAATAGTTCTTGGTCTTTACAATTATAAGATCGTATACCATATCCAGAAAGATATTACGCATAATACTGTGCTACTTAATTAGATAATTACACTCATATACAGTGAATCTCGCATACACGTTTCTTTTAGAAGATTTAACACCATAAACTTTGACCATTTAAATATATCAAATAATTTATTATATATCGCACAACTGTCATATAAGATGTTGAAATTAGTTCGTTTATTAAGGTGAACTGCAAACGGTTATGAAGATCGATGTATATATTTCATCAATCGTTCATTTTTTACGGCCACAAAGGGTTTCATTGTTGTTGTTCGGTTAATAGGTTTTGATCCAAACGAGTTCAAAGACAGTACTAATCCCAGGGGTATTTTGAGAAAAGTTTCCTTATTTATGGTTTTTGAGTTAGTTTAGATGTCTCTTATGTCTAATTATAAATAAGGGTTATGCTTAGTTTTATTCCTGGCTTTGAATAAAAGTTTTGAGAAAAAGCAATTTCCTAGAATTCCACTTTGTCCACCATTTGTTTTGCTTCTTTCCGTGTTATGTTTTCTGTTCTCCATGTAACATTTGTTATCAAGCTCAAGTTGCAAATTGTTTTCTTACACATGATATCAAAGCGGTTCATTTGAAGGGATGTGAGTTGGTTTTGTTTGCAAGGTAAACATCTCAACAACAGTTCTGATATCTTTTGATCGGGCTTGTTCTAATGATAGCGAATCACTAACCGGAGATGTGTGATAAACGGATAGGAAGACATAAACGAATAGGAAGACATCGAAACAGGGCACTTTGATTTGGTTCGTCTTTACAGATGACAAAATATGGCAAAAGTGGTCGTGACCTTGTTTTCATGATCGGTGGAATAGAGCTTACGAAACAAGCTTGATTAAAGAGTTTGGGACTACCAATTAAAGGAAGAATAGGATGTCAATAGTTAAAGACCAAGGGTTGATGCCGTATCACGTTCATGGGCAGTCAAAATCAAATCGATTATGGATGCACATGGCTTAAAGGAAACGGTCAAACCAAGGGCGTTAAGTGAAGAATCATATCGAATGAAGTCAAAACAAGCTCTTGCTTTTTGTTTCAAGCAATACTCGATGACATGGTGATGAAAATGTCAAGCTACACTGATCGAAATCAAGTGTGGTATGGGAAAAAAAACACGGTATTTAGGAGTGGATTGGGAAAGAGTAGCTCGACTTGCAACCTTCAAGAACGAACTAGACAGTTTGCAAATGAAGGAGGGTGAAAATGTTGATAGTTTCCTAACAAATTTGACTACTTTACCCTCAATGTCAAGGAACCTTGGGTATGAGTTTGAAGAAGTGGATTGGTGAAAAGGTTACTACGTTCGATGCATAAGTCATTTCTTCAAATCGTGGCTTTAATAGAGCAATGTTTAGAGTTGGATTTAATGATATTCGATGAAATCATTAAAAGGTTGAAGGCGTATGAGGAGTGTTTAAAAGGAATAGAAAAAACAGAGGAGACTCAAGTTGATTTATTATTGGCTAATGAAGAAAAATCGCATGTTTATAAACATTGTGGCCATGGAGGTTCAAATCGAGATGGCTTTATACGTGGTCAGGCAAGAGTTCATGGTTCTGGGAAGAGTCGATATGGTAATAAATGTGTCCAAGATAAAAATTCATGTTAAATGTTATGAATATTATGAGTTTGATCACTACAACCGTAAGAATCCAAAATTTAGAGGAAGTTGACTTTTAGTCAAATATTGACCAAAATGGCAAAATGGTCAATTATGAGAAAAATATGAAAATATGGAGTTGTGGCTTCATGAAAATGACCAATAAGAGTTAAGTCACTGATATAAGATTATATGAGTAAGTTCAAGAAAAATAATGCATGAAAATATGCATTTTTGGTCAAAAGGGTAAAATGGGAATTAATTACTTTTTAGGTCAACTTTATGATTGAATAGATTAAGACTTGTATTAAGTCAATGAAATATAAGTTAAAAGAGTTGTAGAATATTTTCTCATCTTTGTGTAGATATAAAGAACATAGAAAACGGGTAAGAAACAAAGAAGTTATGAAGGTTAGAAGTTGGGACAAAAAGTGTCCCTAAAGCTAGAATGAAATCGACAATGCACTTTGCTGATATTCAGGTGTCGCGGAGCAGCAAGTAGCAAACCACGACACATTAAGCAATAACAAGGATTCAGATGTAGTCATCCTCGTATTAAATAAATGGAAATGTATTCTAGCCACACAACGCGACAAGACGGTTGTCACGGTAAAGGCGGTGTAAGTGACTACCACTGACCTGGAGTCAACTAGCCACCGTGACGTGGTGTCGCAACAGATCAAAACCTCACTTTTAGTTCATTCTCATCATAAGAAACCCCAAATCCCTCTATAGATGAGCTCAATAGATTTTTAGAAGGAAGAAGGATGTGGGTGTTAATGGTTTGGATTGAACATTGGAAACTCATGAGGTAACCATCATCTCCATAATAGAGCTACTTATAGATTAATGGTGTTTTGATGAAGCAGTTAGATTGCTAGATTTGATTAGTATGTAGATTTAGTATGATGATATTGATAGTGTCTAGAAGCATTAAGAAAGCTTTGATTGATCAAATTGAATTTAGAATTAAATAATGGAATCTTAGAATTGACATCAATTAAGTGATCATTCTGATATTATGAAGTAGATAAGCTCTTAACAGACTAATGCAATTTTCTAGGAACTACATGTTTTATGAATAGGCATTGAGCAAGAAGACAAGCCAAGATGTATTAACTGGAGATTTGGAGGAATGATGCATCAATTGGAGATTTGGAGCCAAGTGGTAGTTAGTCCTCACTAACTAACAAGGTGAGTTAGATTCTCTCACACACAAATATATAAGGGTGTTATGAGTAAAACATTGAGAGTAGATTATATGAATTATAATCCTATTTATGAATAGATGATGAGAAAAAGGTATCTACGGATACCTAAGAGATCTAGACACGAGTAGAGAATGATTATTCATAGTATAATAATAAGTGTGTACATATGTCTAGACATGGATGGTATTATGTAGAATACTTATATGTTAATATTCATAGATAAAGATGAAGTGCTTAATGAGCTATTTACTAGATGTCTAGTAGAAGAACTTTTAATGAGATAAAGAGATAGATTGTCCATGGGACAAGTGTTATGTAACGAGTCAGATAACAAAGATAAAGATTTAGAGAAAGTTGGTTCCTTTAGGAATAAGATAGAGGATCCTTTGGGGATAAGATAGTGGTTCCTTCAAGGACAAGAGATAGAGGTTCTTTCGGGGCAAGATTATGATTCCTTCGGGAATGAGATAAAAGTTCCATCGGGGACAAGATTATGATTCCTTCAGGAATGAGATAGAGGTTCCTTTAGGGACAAGAGTATGATTCCTTCATGAATGAGATGATGTTTCCTTAGGGAACATAGGTAAATGATCCCTTTAGGGATATGTCACACCCTAAAGTGGATGGTAGAATTGTCTGAGGGTGGAATGGAATGCAGTATCACAATAATTGAATACGTCTAAACACAATTACATAAACAACCATCATACATTATAATTAGATAAGTTACATGATCCAAATGTTAATTGTTTCAAATCTAATTACTTTATCAAAGCAAAATAAACAAGTCTGACGTTTTTGTGTCGCCTCCTAACAGCTTAGTCATTTTTGATTAACAATTACCTGAGAATACAAGTGGTTTTCACCACCAGGAAACAACCCTTTAATGACACGCAGTAATTTACAATACACATTTTTTGCGCGTCCTAAAAATAATGTCCGTTTTTAAAATTTTGTAGGATAGAGGACATACATTTTTTCGTGCCCTAAAACTAGTGTCCAACAAAAAAACATTATAAACATGGAGGGAACCTAAATTAAATGGATGTCGCGTAGAGATGTCATTTTATAAACTTTAAAACACGCTCCATCGTAAATAGCTAAGGGGTCGATGGGAATCAAAATTCCCAAATTTTTTGAAGACCCGCTCATTCTCTTCTCTCTACACACCCTAGCAGCTGCCACCACCAGAAACATGGTTTTATGTTGGCTTTTTTTGTGTTG